ACTGCACCGTCCTGGTGAGGAGGTGGAAACTTCTCACTCTTGCTCTTTCCATTTGTTTGTGATATCGCTCTCAATCTCTGCAAAACAAAAAATTATCAAGGGGAAACATTTCAGAATCATCTATAGAGGAGTGATATATATTAAAATATATGCTTATATAAAGACTGTGTTTACTAGTGTAAATGGGATAAGATGAGAATTTTCTCACATCTACATTTGCTTGGCTCTCGGCATTAGCTTCTGGGGCTGGAATAGCTCGTCCAGTGCGATCCCCACGATAACGTATTCTTCTGGCTCCATCAATACCACTACCTTTTCCAGCAAGACCCTTTTGCCTAGAATTACAATGAATGCAGCCACGAGAAGAGACCAATTACAAATCAATCTAATTGATAGGGGTACCCAATTGATAGCATGTGCATCAATAAACACACAAAAGGGGATATAAAATTGCATACCTTCTTGCCTCTTCGTCCCTCAGCTTTACATTCAGTTCTTTCGAAGGTGGATACTTTGGTAAGCTTGAAGGATCACAAGGTAGCGGTTCAGAAGTAAAGAACTGCACATGCAAACCAAATAATGTAGCATTTTGATCAGGAAGTGCTTTTGCTTTCATAACATTTGATCACAAACTAACCGGTTTTTTATTTATCTAAATCGAAAAAAATGAAAAATAAAACTCAAAACTCATATGACAAACAATTGAAAGATTGGATGGCAAAGATTACTCACTTCACTACTCAAGGCCGAAGTAGAAGTTCCTCGATCAGCAGGGTCTATAGCGAGAAGTTTCTCGACTAGGTGCACAGAGGATGGAGGGAAACCATTGAAGGCTTCAGCCACACAACGTTTGTATGGATGTTGCGGTTTAAAAAGAGTTGCGTTTGGCAGTTTGTACTTCTTCCAGTATGATTCTGAAGGGGAACCACATAATTTGAATATCTTATGAAGTTGTTCGACCTACAAAGAACAAGTTAGGTAGGAAAAACGGTAAACAACAATCTAATTAATTTTTGGTTGTGCATACATTCCATTTGTGGTCCAGGATCATACACAGATAAATCAATTCACCAACAAGTATTCAACTGCTCTCTACAATGCAAGTCATATGAGAGGGCCTACACATTTGTATCTAACATAAACTAATAAATTCTTACGCAGACTAACTAAAAACAAGATAAACACGATTTTGATTACCTCTGTCCTTCCTGGCATAACGGGTTTGCCAGCAAGTAACTCTGCCAAAATACAACCGGCACTCCAAAGATCAACACCAGTTCCATAGTTGATAGCTCCAAGCAGAAGCTCGGGAGGACGATACCAGAGCGTGACAACACGACTAGTCATTGTTTGCTTTTGCTTCGGGTCATAAAACGTAGCCAACCCGAAATCAGCAATCTTCAGAATCCCATCATTATCTATAAGAAGATTAGAACCTTTGATATCTCGATGCAAGACTCCTCGACTATGGCAATGCTCCAATCCAGATAGTAGCTGCTTCATAAAGCATTTGACCTGAAGAACCAAGAAATGAAACCTCCATTAAGAAGAGAAGATCAAGTTTATTGTTTACACATTATTCAGTACACTACAAGTTTGCATCTTTGCTACTGTACTAATCATACTATTCAGATTTTAATTACAAAACTTAACATTAAGTATATCAAATAGTATGCACAGCTAATAAAGGAACCTAAATCCAATGAATGAGAGTCATAAAGGACGTTGAAAAATTCACCAAAATCATAAAAACATAATTCAAAATTGGGTCCACCGACAAATAAATTATAGCATCACCAAAAGCACACAAGAAACAAAAAACAAACAGACGATAACATTTACCATATGTGACCCAAAAAAACGTACATCTTGAAAACAGTAAAATCACAATAAGGATATCTATCATTACACATTAACTTCTTCCTTACCTGTTTATCATTAACCATCTCCTCTATTAAATCAATCTATCTATGGTAACGCATTAATAACATTAAGAATAAGTAAGCAAAAACAGAACACACACACACACACACACCTGAGGAAGATCAAACTTGAGACTTTGAGTAGCAGCAAGACCAGAGAGATCATGCTCCATATACTCAAAAACAAGGTAGAGACTACATGAAACCCGAGAAGTAACCAAACCTTCAAGCTTAATAACATTAGGATGATTAAGCCTTCGCAACACAAGAATCTCTCTAGCCATAAACTTAACACTCTCTGCTTCCAAATTATCAAACCTAACTTTCTTCAAAGCTACAATCTTCCCAGTCAATAGATCTTTCGCCTTGTACACATTGCTATACGTTCCTTGCCCAATCTAATATATATAAAAATCAAAACTTTACATCATTCAAATTAAAAAAAAAAACAAAACTTTCTAATTAAAAACTGGATTTTTTGAGACATTTTTTGGTACCTTCTCAAGCTTTTCGTAAGTGGTAGCTCGACGAGGTGTTAAGTCTTTGATGGAATCGCCACAAGCAGCAATAAGCCACGGCGGCCATCCTTCCGGAGTCGAACGGAGACTCATCCCCGGTCGACGAGAAGAGCCGGCGGAGAAATCGCCGGTGTGCCATATCCTCGCGGGCTGAATCTGAATCGAAACTAAATCCTTCTTCTTCTCCTTATCTCCGATTTCGACTACAGAAACGGCGGTGGTGGAAGAAGAAGAAGGCAAATCCTCCTCCGTCGTCTTGCGGTGGTCTCCCGGAGGAGGTTCATCGGGAATATTGTTATTGGTGTTATGATTCGGTTTGTCTCCGGTGGATTCTTTGCATAAAACGCATCCCATCTGCTGAATCGGTGAAGCTCTCTGTCTCTATCTCTTTTAGCTTAACATTATCATCGCCCACGAGCTCAGAGTTTTTTTTTTTGTTTTTTTTTTTGTTCTCTGGAGAGTGAGAATCGGGTTTTTGTGTGAAAACGACGGCGTTTTGGGGAGGGGAGTGAGAGTCGAGTCTTTTGCACGTAGGAGTGAAAAATGGCGGTTTTCCGTTAATAGTTTAACGAGTGGTTTCACTTTGTTTTATACTTAAAAAACAAAAGAAAACCTCAGAGAAATTTAATTTATTTATAGTAAAGGCCTGAAGAAGAAAAGTGGTTAAAAAGGTTTTTTTTTTTCTTTTGAAAGCTCCTTTTATTTATTTATTTACATAAAAAAGGCTAAAAGTTATTCAACTTTTTTTTGGTTTTTTAATTCAAATTAATTTGACTTTGTAAGTATTCTTTATGTTTTATTATCAGTAGCATTTGTCAACGGGAAAATAAATAATCTGAAAATCAGTATTGCTACGCTAGTATTAAAAATAAATTTTATTTTTTTTATGTTGCATTCCACCAAGAAAATTGGGTATAGTGTGTGATGTACAAGTTAGTTAATCGTAGAATCCAAGTGATTGTAATTTTTTTTAGCATATTAAAAGAGAGTAGTAATTGTATTTTGTTATTATGTCCAGTTACAAAAAAGAATGGGTAAAACTTTCACCAAAAAAAAAAAAAGAATGGGTAAAAATGTTCCAGAGTACAAAAAAAAAAGTAATTAAGAGAAAAAACAACCTAAGAAAACTCAAAATTTACCAACCAAACAATAAATAGTGAATACAATGATTCATTCGATCATTCTAATTAGGAGCACATAAAAAAATTCGTGAAGAAATCCCATAGAAAACCTCATATCACTATTAAAAGAAAAAACTATGAAATTTTTAAAAGTTTCTTATAACAAAAATGTTTAGTTGGGATATAAGTTAAGAGAATGACAACATTGTTTTATTGGTTTAAAGGTTTTGAATTGTTCATATAGAAAATAATTAAGTTCATGATGTCATAAATACAATTTAAATATATGCGTATAAAAATTTATAAAACAATTAAATCGATGGAGAAATTGCTACTTTTTTCTTCTAATATCTCCATTATTCCCATAGGCATGCCAACAAAAAAAAAAAAGAACATAAATTTGGTACTATACTTTACTTTCAATCTAATTTAGTACTTTAAATTTTCAATAAGAATATTATTCTGTATTAGCCAAACCAAGGACAGTTTACTGTAAGACTGACATGTGGACTAAACCAATCCACAAATTGAATGTTGTATTTGTATGTATGCAGCAGAGTAGATAGATCATAGATATGGACTAAGTGTTTGTTGCTTCTCTCTTAGATTCCTTCCTCATTGCTGCAGAGACTCCACCACCACCACTTCACTTTTTATTTTTTTATTCGAAATTTTTTTGTTGACAAATAAAACATGAAAAGCAACTTCTTCATAATCACAAATAATCATCAAACCGGTCCACATTATTCTTCTCATATCAATATCATCCATCATCAAGTAGTTTCCACACAAACAATTTTGATTTCTCCAAGCAAAGTCATTTAAACTTTTTTGACGATGGAACAAACATGTTGAAGACATATTCAAAATTCAAGTTACCAAAGAGCCAAAAAAAATACATACTAAAGTAAGAAACCCAAAGACCACGACGACGACAATGCTTCAATTGCTAATGCACGTTTTGTCGAGAAATGGATTTTCTTGAGTTCTTCAAAGACAAAAATGGTTTTTATATAAATTACGTCACTAAACTCGAGTAAATATTGAAAAAGACGTAAGGATGTAAATGAATGAGTCAACCTTGGAATTTTTGGTAGTTGGGTTTCATACCAATTTAGACGTTTGGCTTTCTTCTTCACTTTAATGCACAACGTCTTTAATGGTCCAACCTCTCTCAATGTATATCTCTTCTCTTTGACAGTTACATTCACATTTTGTTCAGATTTGTTTGGTCCTAAACCAAAAAGTGTAGACTAGATGGATGGTTTAATAAGACTTTGATTTCAATTGACTTATAATACAAACATACATTTACATTAGAGTATAGTGAATGGATGATTTAATAAGACTTTGAGTTTAATCTTAAGAAAGTTATATTTTCATTATTCAGTTTGCATTTGGTTCGACCTAAACTAACCATTTCTTCCAACCAAACGATATTGAATAATAAACCTGACACACTCCATGCTCAATGATCTAGTACTAGATAAGAGATCATCTTTTATGGATATAGCGCATTGAATTTAGTATGATCTTTTCAAAGCGGTTTCACTCTTACCAGCAGGGCAAGCAAGAGAGTAAACGCAGAGCACATAAAAAGAGTTATAAACCAAATTAATGATCATATCTAGCGCCAATTCTTGATAGATCCTACCCAGAGCAGAGCTTTTCCAGCGCCAGATTCTCATCTCCACCACTCGATTCAATCGCACTCCTAACCTGAGCCTCTCCAAAACCCATCTCCACAAGTTTCTTGACCTGCGGACAGATCAAATCCAACACGAGCCTTTTAAGTACACAAGCCAGACAACACTACATTTAACCTTCAAAGCTATTTCAACAACTCACTTTTTCCTCCAGAGAAGATTTCTTGGCAAAACTTTCAGTCCAGTAACGAGCAGTTGATACAAACACTTGATAGTTCTTCATGTACTGTAAACATCAGATATAATGGAAAAACTTCAATCTTTGTTAAGAGACACGATGACTAAGAAAAGGAAGAGAAAAACAGAGGATGAATAAAGGTGATGTAGAAGAACCTGCTCAGCTACAACAGCATCTTGAGGGTCTTTTGGTTCTGGTGCAGAGAGTAATGCCTGAATTGAAACAAGAGCTGTCTTCAGAGTAAGAGCTGGACTCCATTGGTCTTTCAAGATATCCAAGCATATCGCCCCGCTTTGACTACTGATATTTGGGTGCCTTTGGGTTTGATAAACATGAATCAACCAAGATAGACCCTTAATTAGCACACAATACATTGATTTCCTCCTAATATACACCAACTTCGTAATGGTAAAATGTATGTAAAAGAGAGTAAGAAGCGAGCATAAACACAACTTTACCAAAGATTAAACTTCTGACCAAAGACACAAGGTTATCAAACAAAATATGATACTACCCAAACATTAACCATATGATGGAGATGAAATAGTTGCTCATATTAACAACGATTCAAGCTCCCAAATAGATGATTCTGCAGTAAGTAACATAAGAGTCAAAACCATCTTCTTACCAAACTTTGGTTGAGAATTGCATCTTTGGAGGCTCAAATGGATACCCTTCTGCAATTGAAAAACATATAAATTGATTTATGAGCACAACACTACACAAATCAAACCCCCATAAACCCTAAATGATGAACTCATACACCAATTCACAATCAGACAAAGCAAAGTAGTCTGGGGGTTAACACTATAGCAACAAATGGAACCAAATGAAACAAAATCAAGTGAATCCCCAAAAACTAAGTTCTGGGTCTTGGAATTTCACAATCAAAGTAGAGGAATTTGGTTCGGACCTGGCATGGTGATATCGATCTGAAAGGTTCCGCCTTCGTAAGGAGTACCGATAGGACCAGGGATAGTTCCGGTGAGTCGGGTGAGATCATCGGCTTTCGGGCTGACCCGGATACCCGAAGAATCGTTGTCTCTGCCACAATCTTGAAGCTCTTTCTGGATTCTGCTGAAATCTATCATCTTTTGAGATCGTCGATTGAGATTCCCAGAAAGAGAGAGAAACCCTAAAGAAAAAGATTGGAACTTTTTATTTGGTGAAGAAGAAGTGTGGAGAGAGCTTCTTTTCTTGCATCTTAAGCGAGTTATCGAACAGTCCACTTTTTCTTTTTCATTTTTTTTTTTTTTTTTTTGTATTTTTCTCTGTTTTTCACGTTTTTTTTTTTTTTTTTGGCAACAACTTACTAACAAATTGACTCAAACGAGCCAATCAGAGGGAACATTGTTTACATACTTGACATGAAGCGGAATGGTACGAACTTTGCGTGCCAAAAAATCCGCCTTTACATTTGCATTTCTTGGAATAAGAGATAAAGAGAAAGAAGAGAATTCTTCCCTGTCGATATGGATATCATCAAGGTATACAGAGAAAGCCGGCCAGTCGGAAGGAGAAGACACCATCTTCACCAAATCTGAACAGTCTGTGAGGAAAACAACATCTCTGAAATTATGGCCCACCATGCATCTCATTGCCCATACCAGCGCTTCAACTTCAGAATGGAGAGGAGATAGACTTCGTCGCACATTCATTGCCCCCCTGATCGTTGAAAGTCCTGAGGAGTGCTGACAGAACCAGCCTATACCTGAGAATTCATCAGTTGCCTTCCAGGAGCCGTCCACAAAGCAGTGGTAGCCTAAAAGAGAGGGACGGAGGGATGGTGCGCCGCCCCGCACTCGAGGGAATGAAAGCTGAGAAGCCATAGGTTGGCCCGTGTCTTCAACCTGGGCCTGTTGCCAGGCTTGCGCCTCACTAATGGCCAGATTAACCACGTCCATAGGACTTTCATCCAAATTTTCAAAAATCTTTGCATTCCTAGCTTTCCAAATATACCAGATTACCCAAGGGAAAGTTACCTCATGGCCGGACGTGTCTATTTGGCCAAGGAGATAATCAATATTCGCATACACAGACTCTGTTGGGAAAGAGATTGTACCAACTGGTATGTTTGCTAGCGCCCATGTCTGGCGCGCTGGTGGGCACTCAAAAATGACATGATTAGCCGTCTCTGTCTGAGCACCACAACGTCCACAACTAGAGTCACAATTTATACCCCGACGACGTAAATTAGCTGAAACAGCTATACATCCTGTAAGCAGTTGCCACATAAAGTGATGAATCTTTGGCGGACAACGTACTTTCCATATACTACCCAACAAATGTAAAATGTCAGGCCCATATACCTTAGTATGCTCGGTCCAGGAATCCATCATCCGGGCCGCATAATAACCAGATTTAACTGTGTATTTCCCATTCTTTGTAAAGTGCCACCCAAATGAGTCAGGCTTTGGAACATTACCGATCGGAAGAGCACGAATCAAAGAAATGTCCAGTGGAGCAAAATGCTCTTGGAGCACATCCATTCGCCAAGAGTTTGCCTGGCGATCAATCATTTGTCTTATCTGTAGAGATGGGTCCATAAGCGACCCATTGCTCAAAGCTGGTCTCGGGAATTGAGCTGGTATCCAGGGGTCAGTCCATACTGAAATGGAGTCCCCCGAGCCAACTCTTTTAATAAGCCCTCTATTTACCAGAGATCTAGCTGAAGTAATACTTCGCCATCCATAAGATGGGGAGTATGATTTAAGCGGTTCCAATGGATTGGAATTCCGATAGTATCGACTTTTAAAAACCTTTGCAAAAAGTGATTCCGGGTTGTCAATCAGACGCCACAGCTGTTTAGCCAAGAGTGCTGAATTAAAGTCATTGATATCCCTAAACCCAAGGCCCCCCATCTTCTTACTAGAACATAATTTCTCCCACGCCACCCAATGCATTCCCCCAGTTTGGCCATTAGTACTCCACCAAAAATTTGCCACTGCACTAGTTAGTTTTGATGTGATCGTTTTAGGAAGTCGAAAACAAGACATCACATAAGTCGGTAAAGCCGCCGCCACCGATTTAATCATCACCTCTTTTCCTCCCTTAGATAGAAATTTGGCTGACCACCCGTTGATATGACTATGTAGTCTATCTCTTACAAAAGAAAAAACTTTGGTTTTAGAGCCCCCTAGGCTCTCCGGCAACCCCAGATATGACCCTATTCCTCCCAAATTTGAAATCCCCAGAGTCTCCTGTAACTCCTTTTTGGTATCCTCATTTACCTTGTGTCCAAATTGAAGTGAGGACTTTGAGAAATTTATTTGTTGTCCTGAAACCGCCTCATACTGCTTCAAAATACCCAGAATAACCGCACATTCGTCTGTGGTTGCCTTACAAAAAAATAGACTATCATCTGCAAATAGTAAATGCGAGATAGGTGGGCATTTATTTGCCACTTTGATTCCTGTAATTAACTTTTCCCGCTCCGCCTTCCTGATATTGGCTATTAAAGCCTCTGTACATAAAATGAATAGATAGGGAGATAAAGGATCCCCCTGTCGTAAACCCCTACCTGGAATAATAGAACCATGAGGCTGTCCATTTATTAAGACTCGATATTCAACTGAGGATACACAATGCATAATCAAAGATATCCATTTCTCTGAGAAACCTATTTTTCGCATCAACCGTTCTATGAAACTCCATTCAACCCTATCATACGCCTTACTCATATCTGTTTTGATGGCCATAAATTTACTTTTACATGACTGATTAGTCCGGAGACCATGAAACATTTCCTGAGCGATCAAGATGTTATCAGACATCAACCGTTTTTCAACAAAAGCGGATTGTGTTTCCGATATAAGACCTGGTAAAACCGTTTTAAGTCTTTGACAAAGCACTTTTGAAATAATTTTGTAACCCACATTGCACAGACTGATAGGTCTTAATTCCGTCATCCTGGTTGGTCTTTCCACTTTGGGGATTAGACAAATATGTGTCTTATTTAAGCGTTTATCAAACACCCCCTCCTCGAAGAAGGAATTAACCAGGTGAAGCAAATCCTCTTTAACCACACTCCAAGCCTTTTGGAAAAACAAAGCTGTCATTCCATCCGGGCCTGGAGCTTTATCTGGGGGCATCATGAACAAAGCTGCCCGAACCTCTTTTTCCGTGGCCGGAGCTGTTAGGAAATCATTAACATCCTCCGTTACCCCAGCCGTCACCTCCATTAAAGCTTCCTCAAAATCGTGAGGAGTACTTGTTGTAAACAAGTCATCAAAATATCTTGCCGCTATGCAGCAAATATCCTTATCTTCCGTAGACCAAATATCATTTTTATCGTACAAACCCACAATTCGATTCCGGGCTCGCCGCTGTTTTGTTTGTGCATGAAAATATTTGGAATTCTTATCCCCCACTCGCATCCATCTGTTCCTACTTTTCTGTTGCCAATACACCTCCTCATCTTTGTAAGCTTCACGCAAACGGGAAGATAATTCAGTAATATCTTCCGGACGGCTTAAATCATCCGCCTGTGCCACGACTAATTGACCTTTCAAAGTTTCTATCGTATCCCTCCCAAATGGAACCAGATTTTTCCGCCATTGAGATATTGCACGTCTACACCTGACCAACTTATCCACAAAAATGTTAGAATGTTGACGGGTATCTCCAGTCCACCCCTCTGAGATCGCCTCTAACAAACCATCCTTTCCAATCCAGCGTTTGTCAAACATAAAACTCTGTTTACGACGTGAGGTCTTTTCTGCCACGAAAGCTAAAATAGGCTTGTGGTCCGATCCAATCATAGGCAAATATTCAATTACGGTATCCGAAAATAACTCATGCCAATCCTCATTGCCCAAAGCCCTGTCCAACCGACATCTAATCGGTTTTTTATCCCGCCAACCCCGCCATGATAAGCAATCTCCGATATATGGGAAATCCAAAAAACCGCAATCTCGTATCATACAATTGAAAGATAGGAAGGAAGAAGCTGGACGTATCTTCCCCCCACGTTTCTCATGATTTCCAGTTAGTTCATTGAAGTCTCCAATTACAAACCAAGGATTAGACCTATGTAAAGCAATCCTTGTTAAACGTTCCCAAACTAGATCACGCTTTTGAGGAACCGGATCACCATATAAAAATGTTAAGTTAATCTTTTTGCCTTTGTATACCGCTTCAACATCAATCAATCTATTGGACTCAAATAGAATTGAAACATTGAAATCATTATTATTATAAAATAGCGCAAGACCACCACTACAACCAATGGGGTCAATCGTTTTTAAACTTTTATAGCCAAAATGGCCTACAAACTTTTCCAAAAATAGAGATGACTGTTTTGTTTCTGAAAGGAACAAAAAATCGGGCCGATATTTAATCCACATATCCCTAAGATACCCAATTGTAGCCTTATTTCCGAGACCTTGACAATTCCAGCTTAGTACCTTCATTTATCCACTGTTGGTTTTGGTGGCTTGGCTCCACCTACGCCTCCCTTCGCCTTCTCCTGAAGCTTCGAGACATGTCCTCCTCCCACCAGCTCTAAACCGTGTGGGACCTGTCGTTTCCTTGGTGACAACAGCAACTGGGCGTTACGTTTCCTTGCGCTTACTCCTTTGAGTATCAAAGGGCCCGGGATCCTCTTGCCTTTATCACCTGCAGCATCCCTACCTACTCCTTCCTTCTCAGCCATTACATCACCAGTGTCCACAGATCCATGTATTCTCCCCTCGTTACCTACGGTCAGCACATCATCCCCAAAGTTTTGCACCAAAGTCGAATCCGCAACATCCATAGCTGCTGCATTCACCTCTTTTTCATCAATAATTGGATGATCTGAGACCTCCTCAATACCCACCATAAGAGAGAATTCATCACGACTCACAGAAATATGTGAGCCAAACCCAAACTCAGTCGCTCCATCTTGCCCCATAAGGTCTTCGTTGTCAACAACCACAGCTGAATCCACCACCAAACCTTGCTCTTCAGTGTGCTGTACCGAAAGCTCCTCTGCTAGCACCGCTTTACTTCCCCCACAGATCGCTTCCACCTCAGACGACCCCAAGCTCAAACCAACTATTTTTTCCATCTCATGATCACTTTCCTCCAGTTGTCCCTCCTCTAATTGGTTAGTGCCAGTTACAAGGTTAGCCATAGCTTCACCATTCTCTTCAGATTCCGTAAACAAAGCTTTCCGGACCTTTTTCTGCTTCTTAATAGCTGACTCCTGCTCCCTGGATTCCTCAGGAATCGGATCAAGGACAGAACCAGAAACTGGAGCAGCTGGGAGACTTGATTGTCCCTGGGAACCCCCTTGCACCTTTCCATGGCTCTCCTTGTGCTGTCTAGCTCTAAAGGACCCTGTAGAACGGGCTTTTACCCCTGAGGAGTGCTCAGCCTTGGCCTTGTAGCCTCCATATTGTGAGCCACCATTAGACCGTTGTTGTACCGAAGAAGAACTTTCACCAATCCCCTTACCCTTATTGTTACTCTTATACAAACCATCAGTGCCTACTCCCCTTCGTCTATCTGCCAAAACAGCGCCCCTGTAGCTCATGTGATGGTCTTCCCTTTGCTCCGCATTCGCTAAATCCATGCTATCTTCCTTTGTGGACCCAATGAGAAGAGGGCATACAGCCTTGTCATGACAAAGACTGAAGCAGTTCCTACACCACCCATACAAGCGCTCATAAAACAGTTTCACAATGGTAACCTCACCATCATAAAATTCAATCTCTGTTGCGAAACACAACGGCTTGTAACCATCTACTGTAACCTTCACACGCCCCCTGTTTATGTCAACTTCTTCGACATGACCAAGATCAGAACCAATATCATTAAAAGTAGGATCCGCCCAGAATTGTAGAGGAACATCAATGACCCGAATCCAAAACGTCAAAGCTGACGGATAAAGAGGATCCACGACTGGTTTCCACCTTACCATCGAAACCATCCACGAGTCAAAATGGAAAGGCTCCATTTTCAAGACTGCAACTATGTCTGCTTCCTCATCGAAGTCAAACTGGAATTTTCCCGACCCCAAATCAGCACCTGCAACCTTCCCCTCCATTTGCCAAATACGCGGTAGCATAATCAGCAAAGATTTCATATCTTGCATTTGGGGATTGAGGCAACGCCCAATCACCGTTTTGGAGTAGCCAGCGATGAGAGCAGAATTATCAAAACGTGCAATCTTGATCCTTCTCATTGGTCGCTGACCTCCCTCCTGCATACCCACCAAACTCTTCCCCAACAAACCACTTTGAGACATTGCACCACAACCAGACCAAAAACTGAACCACAAAAAACCAGAACACAAGCTAACCCGAGTAGACAAAACACAATGCTTAAACTGGCGAAAGAAATAGAGATGAAACACTGGCCTTTTCCAAGAGTCTTTATACTGAAGAATTTGTTCGATATGATCTCGAAACATAATCAAAGTATTAAAGCCCAGAGATTCGAAGAATAAAAATCTCCTCCAATCCACCGATCCGCCCAAGAAAAAGGAAAGAAAACACCCAATTAGAATCCGAGATAAGCCAATCGCAGATATCACACCTTCCAAATCACCTTCCCGAGCTTTACACCCAAATCGCCCAATCATCACTGTAAAGGATCCGAATTTGGAAATGAGATATTCTGTTTGAGAATCGGAAAGCACCTCAAATCCAAAGATTTCCCAAATCGATATGTGACTACCTTCCTTCCACACCCCAAAATGTGAGAAAAAACACAACGAAAGATGCCAAAGGAAGCACCTCGCCCACCGAGACCAAACCCCATACCTCCAAACCTCAACCCAGAAAAAATAATGAATGGATCTAGAAAAAACCCTCCTTCGAAACCCAAAACAAATCCAGATGCACTTGCAGATCTGATAATCCCATCGCTCCCCAGAACCCTCGACCCCCTTTAGAACGGAGACGATCCAAACCGGAGGCAAAACCCAATCATCACCCTTCAAACACACCAAAACCATTAACACCCCAAAATCGCTTTCTCCATCGCCGCTTCTCGTCCGTTCCCTAATTGTTTTTCACGTTTTTGTTTAATTCATATTTAATGAAGAGAAATTAAAGCCAAACCGGAAATTAATTACGATTTCGATTGTGGTTCACGGTTTTAATCTCACTTGGTTTAGGATACTACAGACCAAACCCAACATGACCCAAATCAGTCCTAGGCATGAGCGTTCGGATCAAGATGTTAAGAATCCGACTGTTTTTCGGGTCGGATCAGTTTTCAAAATTTATTGAAAATTTGAAATGTAGCTGAAACATAGATAAGTTTGATTTTTTTGGATCCGGATTTGAATCTAAATTTTCCGATCCAAATTTTCTAACTAACTTAATAATTTTGATTTAGCTGACCTCATCGGATTTCAATTATAACCCGATCAAACCAATATTCAAATTACACTATATATAAAAAATCTGAACATATTTACTAAATAACCAAAACCGGAATTCAGGTCGAATTTTTCCGTTTCAAATTATATGCCTAGGCCTACAAGTCATATATAATATAAATTAGAAACTAGGCCTTGAATAGTTTAATAGGTTTTTAGTTTAGTTTTTTGGATTTTATAGATAAATAAAATTTTGGTTTTAAATTTCTATAGTGTTCTGCCATCAGTAACACACCAAATGTATTTTATAGTTGGGTTGGAATGAAAAGGAGAACTGCATTACGTCAAAAAGATAAATGCCCGTTTAACGTAAATATTCATATCATGGGAGCTTGTTTTAGTCACCTAGTGTATATATTATGGCCACTAATCAAAAAATATAATTATTTGGTAGAAAAGGGAGTTGAGAAAGTTTCAAAATTTTCAAACAGCGAAAGGGCATTTGTCAGATTATTTATAAATCCTCTCTGATCTCGTAGCGGGTAGATTTGATTGGTACCTCCGTTGGACTTGGTCACGGAGACTTGACCTATCTCCTCGTGCCTTTCTAGATTTTTTGTTGTTGTAACTTGTAAAGTATAAGTTTCATCATCCTAGCTAAAACTGGTTTGAGTATACTATAACTAGGCTATTGTAAGAGTTATTCTTTTCTCGTTGCTCAATGGCTTCTATTTCCTCATCCTCTAGTAATTGGGTATACGATGTTTTCCCGAGTTTTAGCGGAGAAGACGTCCGCGTTACTTTCCTCAGCCATTTTCTCAAGGAGCTAGATCGGAAATTGATCAAGGCTTTTAAAGACAATGAGATAGAGAGAAGCCACTCGATTGCCCCTGAGCTTATAAGGGCGATAAGGACTTCCAAGATCGCGGTGGTCGTGTTCTCGGAAAACTACAGCTCTTCTAGTTGGTGTCTCGACGAGTTGGTGGAGATTGTGACATGCAAGGAAGAGTCTGGTCAACTAGTTTTACCAATTTTCTATGGTTTAGATCCATCTCATGTCAGGAAACAAACTGGAAAATTTGGAGAGGCCTTTGCAAAGTCTTGTCAGATCAAGACAGAAGCAGTGAAAAATCAATGGCAGCAAGCGTTGATCCTTGTTGCGAACCTACTTGGATATCATTCTCAGAACTTGTAAGTTTTTTTTATCATCCTCTATTTGGAATACATGTTTCCACGTGAAGTTGACTAGTTTATTCTTGTTCTTTCATGTTAGCAATAACGAAGCAACAATGATTGAAGTAATCTCTAATGATCTTTTGGGAAAACTGAAATTAACTCCATCCAAGGATTTTAAGGACTTTGTTGGTATCGAATATCATATAGCGGAGATGAGTTTATTGTTAGATTTAGAATCCGAGGAAGCGAGGATGGTCGGGATTTGGGGTCCAACGGGAATTGGCAAGACTACGATTGCAAGAGCGCTATTTAGTCGACTTTCCCGTCACTTCCAAGGTAGGGTTTTCATAGACAGAGGTTTCATTTCAAAGAGTATGAAAAGATTTAGTGGAGCCAACCCGGATGACTATAATATGAAGTTGAGTTTGCAAGGAAAGTTTTTGTCGGAAATTTTAGGCACTAGACACATACAAATAGATCATTTAGGCGCTATAGAAGATAAACTAAAGCACCAAAAAGTTCTTATCTTTATTGATGATGTGGATGATCAAGTGGTTCTAGATACTTTAGTTGGTGAAACTGAGTGGTTTGGATGTGGAAGTAGAATCGTTGTAATTACAAAAGATAAGAAACTTCTAAGGGCCAATGGTATTTACCATATTTATGAGGTATGTCTCCCATCCAGAGAACTATCTCTTGAAATGTTTTGTCGATCTGCTTTTAAACAAAGATCTCCACCGGATGGTTTCATGGAGGTTGCTTCTAAAGTTGCTATGCATGCTGGTAATCTTCCTTTGGGTCTAACTGTTTTGGGTTCTTATTTACGGGGCAGCGACAAAGAGTACTGGGTCGATACGTTGCCTAGCCTTCGTATTAGGCTGAACGGAAAAATAGAGAAAACACTAAGAGTCAGCTACGATGGATTAAATAACGAAAAAGATGAAAAGATGTTTCGTCATATTGTATGCCTCTTTGATGGTGCAAAAATTAATGACATCAAGCAGATGTTAGCAGATAGTGACTTGGATGTTAATATAGGGATAAGAAACCTCGTTGACAAGTCTCTCGTACATGTTAACCATGATACCGTGAAGATGCACACTTTACTACAAGAGATGGGGAAAACAATTGTTTGTGAGCAGTCCAATGAGCCTGGAGAACGAGAATTCCTTGTTGATTCCAAGGATATAAACAAAGTACTTAAATATAACACAGTAAGTTTTTATTTCATGTACATATCTCACTCTTTTTTTTTAATAATCAAAAGAATGTTATCTCCTAAAGATGATATAACAATTTCAGGGTACAGAAAAGGTTTTGGGTATATCATTGGATATTGATGAGAATGATGAATTGCATATACATGAGAGTGCGTTCAAAAGGATGCATAATTTATGGTTCATAACAATTTACATCAAAAAATGGGACTATAAGAACGAAGTAAGATGGCATTTAGCAGAAGGCTTCGACTATTTCCCCCCGAAGCTTAGATTATTGAGGTTGGACGGATATCCAATGAGATGTTTGCCTTCTAGTTTCCGTCCGGAACACCTTGTTAAGCTTACAATGCGAAGGAGCAAGCTCGAGAAGCTTTGGGAAGGAGTTCAAGTAAGTTCTAAGTTCAATTATAGTCAATATCACTATTATAATCCTTGTTTTACCTTATAAATGATAATCCTTTCAACTAATAATGTGAAAGTTTCTTATATTTCAGTCACTTACAGGTCTCAAAGATATAAATTTGGATATATCTAGAAATCTGAAAGAACTCCCAGATCTTTCTATGGCCACTAATCTTGAGACTCTTTATCTTGGTTATTGCTCGAGTTTGGTAGAAGTTCCTTCCTCTATTCAGTATCTAAATAAACTCAAGACTCTGGACATGTCATTTTGTGCAAATCTAAAGACTTTTCCCACTGGAATGAACCTCAAATCTCTTGACCGGCTTAATCTCATGGGATGCTCACGGTTGAGGAGTTTTCCTAATATATCAACCAACATCTCAAAGCTCTATATGTGGGAAACATCAATAGAAGAGTTACCCTCAAACTTACATCTAGAAAATCTCACTGAACTAAATATGTGTGGGTTAAAGAGTGAAAAATTATGGAAAAAAGTGCAGGTATGTATGGGACCTAATGTTTTTGTAACATCTCTATATGTTTGTTTTTAGATTTAGGATCTCTAAATGTTTTTTTTTTGTTTTTTTTTTTTTTTCAGCCGCTTAAACCCCTCATAACCATGCTAGCTGCTACTTCTTTGACGAGGCTATGGCTCTCCGATATCTCAAGTTTGGTGGAGCTTCCTTCATCTATTCAAGATCTTAGTAATCTCAAGGAGTTGAGCATTACAAAGTGCATAAATCTTGAGACTCTTCCCACTAGAATCAACCTTGAATCACTCGATATCCTAAGTTTTAGTGAATGCTCAAGACTGAGAAGTTTTCCCAATATCTCAACCAACATCTCAACACTTGATCTAGGAGGAACATCAATAGAAGAGGTTCCATGGTGGATCGAGAACTTCTACAAGCTCAAATATCTTACATTGGCATACTGCAACAAGCTAAAATATGTTTCCCTAAGGATTTTTAACCTAGCACTTCTTGATGCAGCTAGGTTTTTAGACTATGGAGCATTTATTGAAGATAGCTTTAGCTTTAATATTAGTCCAAGTGTTGACGACACTTCTTCTGTTCCAGAGAATTATTTTTCAGTTGTCAAGCTCAATTTCATCAACTACTTCAACTTGGATCAAGAAGCCTTGATTCGACAACAATCTGTTTTCAAACATATGATCTTGATAGGTGAAGAAGTGCCTTCACATTTCATCCACCGTACAAGTGGAACCTCTTTAGCTATTCCTCTACTTCACACATACCCCTCTCAACCATCATTAAGATTCAGGGCTTGTGTAGTGATTGATTGCGGATCTGATCTTAGTATTATTGGTCGTTACTCATTCTTCATCCAGGTACGTTGCCAATTCATAGACAAACTTGGAAACCACTTGGCTTCTAATGATTGGCCATTGTCCATAACAACAACTATGTTGGGTCGTCATCTGGTTACATTTGAGTGTTGTTCCCCACTAAATACAGACAATAGTCCTCCTTTAGCTGAACTTGATCACGCGGTTATACAGTTTCATCTCATTGATTATAACTACTCTGACCTCAAATTTAAAGGATGTGGTATACGATTCCTGGAGGACGCTCCTCCATCTCTACATTCAAGTGTTGTTGAAGGCGATAAAAGAAACTGTGTTACTTTGAGAGGCCATGAAACTGAATACAGTGACGTGTGTGGAGACATCAATGTAGAGACAGAGAGAAGCAATAAGGGAAAACAGGGGCAAAAAAAGAAGAAGAAGAAGAGAAAAAAGAAAAAGAAGAAAGGTTCTTGGTAAAGCATATGAAGAAGCTTAGTTGAATACAAAATTATATTATATCATCACAGTCTGGCTAATGATTTGCTAATAGGCACCATGTCTAACTTAGTCATGTTTTGAATTGTATAGAAGAGCCACGTCTAAGTTATGATTTCTTGGTCACTTTTTTTTATGTGGAAACTAAGATTAGCAGAGACTCTAATTCAAATGTTAAATAAAGAAAACACCATAAACTAATAAACAAAATTCTGATGTAATAAAAACTGTAAACACAAACAAAGTTTAAAGGAAGAGCGTAAGGAATACTTAAAAGGTGAATGTCAAATTAATAATAGAGACACTCTCTCGTACGCGGCTTGCACTCTCTGGCTTCAACTCTACACCGTCGAGTAATTTATCTGTTTACCTATTATACCCTTGAAGTTAAACCCTCAACGCCTAACAGATAAGGGTAAATATGGTATTTTCCATATAAGCCGACAACAAAAGGAGATGACCGTTTGATAGATCCGCAAATCTCAAGCGTTTCAAATCATTTAATTTCGATAATTAAAATCACAAAAAAAAAACTTCAACTTTATTTAGTTGTTTCCACTTCCTAAACGCTTGAATCCGATTCTCATGCGATCGAATTCTCCAAAAACCTCCACTTTCCTTATTATTCCAAAAACCTAAAAAAAAACCCACTTAGAGAGAGTAGGGTTCTGATTCTTCTATATCTAGTTGCGTAGAAGAACCCTAAACAGTAAACAGGGTTTTTTTGATGGCGAATCGTGTGGTGATGATGGAAGAAGATGTTACTGAATCTGTGGCGTTAATGGTTGATTCCGTTGCTTCTTCTCCGATGACTCCGAAGACGGTGGTGATGAATAAGGAAGATGATGATGCTCATCATCCTTACGCGTTTCATGTTTCCGGACCGAGGAATGTTGCTTCTCCTAACTGGAGAGATCTCATCAACTCTAGTTGGTAAACAAAACTTTGATTCCTCTGTTCTGTTTTTTATTTTTTGATTCTAAGTTTTTTCGTTGATTTAAAAGACACGATTTTTAATTCGGTTGAAAGTTTCTGAGACATTGATTTGAGTATTGAGGACGAGCATTGCTGCAAAACCCTGTTTTTATACTCTTTGGATCTGTAAGGGATCGAAAAAGTTGAAATTTTGGTTAGATTAATCTGTTGTTTTGTCTTAATTACAGAGATCTTTTCCTTTACTATGTAATCTCCGACATTGTCATGTTATTTTTGTGAGAAGTTAGTTTTTTTTTTTTTGAACTCGAATATCCATAAGTTTCTAATTAAGTTGGGGTATGTTCTGCTTCTAACCTCATGACCTACTTGCTCTGGTGATTGGATTTGAATTCTTCCTTGATTAAGAACCACCTTGAACCCAAGGAACTAGCTATATTTTGCATTGCATTGTGCTTAATTAGCCTTTTATGTGTCTGAAGCTAATCATGTAATGTCTAAGGTTTTAGTCATTTTTTTTGTCTGTAATGATTTCTAAGAATGAATTGGTACTTTTGTTATTATGTATTGTATGAGATGCTTATGTCTAAGCAAGTTTTAACCTTTGCTTCAATTTTCTGTGTATGTAGGAAGGATCCTAACTACAAGAGGACAGTTATGGCATGCTTTATTCAAGCAGCATACCTACTTGAACTCGACAGACAGGAGAACCGAAACGAGCAAAACGCTCTCGCCCCAAAATGGTGGATTCCATTCAAGTATAAGTTATCACAAACGTTGATTGACGAGAGAGATGGTTCCATATTTGGTGCTGTTCTTGAATGGGATAGAGCAGCTGCAATGGCAGATTTGGTTGTCATTAGACCCAGTGGTGCACCAAAAGCAGTATTGGCGCTGCGAGGAACAATACTAAAGAGTCATACAATGAGACGTGACATCGAAGATGATCTTCGGTTTTTAGCGTGGGAGAGCCTTAAAGGTTCTGTGAGGTTTAACGTCGCTCTGGAGGCATTGCAATCTGTAGCAAAGAGATATGGAAGCAGTAATGTCTGTGTAGTGGGTCATTCTTTAGGAGCTGGTTTTGCTTTACAAGTTGGTAAAGCCTTGGCGAAAGAAGGGCTATTTGTGGATGCTCATTTGTTCAACCCACCTTCTATTTCTATCGCGATGAGCTTAAGAAATATCGGTGAAAAAGCTGGTGTTGCTTGGAAAAGACTCATGTCAATGCTTCCTCCCAAAAACGAGCCTTTGATACCGAATGGTAACGAAGGACAGGTTTCTCCTGGCAATGTTTCTTCAGGGTTCAGGAACTGGGTACCAAGTTTCTACGGGCAGAATCAGAAATCTACGGTGGATTTAAGAAAATGGGTGCCTCATTTATATGTGAACGATAGCGACTATATCTGCTGCCACTACACTGACCAGGATGGGGTAACAGAGAAGAGAGAAGTGAACAACAACAAAGAGAACAATGGCCCTATTGTTAACTCTAATTATCAGGCAGCAGCTAAGCTTTTCGTGATGTCGAAAGGGAAACAGAAGTTTCATGAGGCGCACGGGCTGGAACAATGGTGGTCAGATAATCTAGAGCTTCAATCAGCAATTCACAGCAGCAGGTTGATCAGTCAGCAACTCAAGTCATTATATAGTATCAAGTAAAAAATCACAATTCTTTTACCAGTTTATTTTTTATCCAGCATGATGGTAAACAGATCCATCTTTATCATTCAATAAACATATTTGCCCTATCTTTATGACTAAGAACACTTTACAGGGAATGTAAAAACATAAATGTAAGTAGGAATCAGTTGTAACTGATCTGAAACATGTTGTAGAGGAAAAAATTGAAGACTACTTTTTTTAGAATCTCAAGTCCATAAAGAGAGCTATGTTATGTCCCCACCATTGAAGCTTGAAGCTTTATTAGGAGCAATTTAGATTACAAAACAGTAGTTAGAGAGGAACCAACAGAAACAGATCCATGTGCAGATTTCAATTTGGTGGTTTTACTAATTGAATTGTGCCAAAGAACTTAACGGCTGTGACAATCATATGGGGCCACAAATAAACAAGTTGAGAAATTTGGGAAAAAGGTATAAACAAAACAAATGCCATGTGCTTTCGACCAACATTATCAGACAGGACATACCATCACAATCCAACTCATATTATGCAACAAAAACAGTTTCAAATTGCAGACACTGAAGGGTCATTACACTGTTTCTAGATTAAAATTAAACCAGTCAAGCACTTGAGAATGGATCAGGTTCTTGGAAGTTTTTAGAGGACAAGAAAAAAGCTGAAGGATCAAATCAAACTCTGATATGATTAACTCACAAAGAAAATTAAGATAAGAAGATTACAAACTCTACAAAGATATTATTATTTTTGTCTACAGACTAATCAGCAATTACTCTGCCTACTTCAATCAGCCAAGCCTTATGAACAATCAAATCATCAAACAACATATAGAGAAAACGAAGAAAAAAAAATCGAGAATCGCCGATATGTCTCTTACATACAGGTTAACATCGTATCCAGAGTCTCCTATGGCCTTGTAAAGACGCCCCAAATCTTACTCCGGGAAAGATTCTCCGCCAATTTCTTAGCTCCTTCAACATCCATCTCCACAAGCTTTTGTAAATGCAAGCAAGCACCAAGAGCAACAACTTGTTTCCTGCATTTCTTAGAAGTTACAAGCAGTTCCAATGCAGAGATTGTGTATTGCTTATCTAATTTCTTAATCTTCGGGTCCAAGAGCTGAACAAGACTGACTATTCCCTTCTCACTCTTCTTAAAAATCTTTCTGTTGCTCGTGCACACTAATAAAGTTGACAGAGCTTTGGAAGCTGCTTCTTTCTCTTCAATGGCTTTACCATCTAACGTATCAATCAGGGGACCAATGCATCCGCTTTCACCAATTTCTTTTCGGGTTTTTGAGCTAAAAGCTAGCGAGGAAACCGCCTCAGCAGCTGCAATCCTCACACCGAGAAACCCACAACTCAACACTGGAACCAAACGAGGGATAAACCCTTCAGAGATAACAACTTCTCTCACAATAGGACACAAAGCTAAATTCTTTAGAAGCACAACTCCAACCTCCAGAGTCTTAACATTAGAAACAGAATCCCAGAAGTTCTTTAAACACTGAATCCCTCCTTCTCTAACAATTGATATCATCAAATCCTCATCCCCAGTCGTTAAATTAGCCAAACATCCTACAGCGTTCTCTTGAGCTAGAGATGTACCAGAAGAAACCATAGAAATAAGAACGAAAATCGCGTTTTCCTCTACAAAATTCTCTTTAGTCTCCACAAACGAAGCAAGATTCCTCAAAACACCAGCAGCAAAAGCCTGAGAACCAGGACTCCCAGCTTGACATATCTCCAGCAACGAAGAGATTCCACCTCTACAACCAATCGCTCTCGCATTCTCCTTAGACAAACTTAAAGCTTGTAAAGCAATACAAGCCTTCTCTTTAGCAAAACCACTTCCTGATTCCAGAACACGAAGGAGATGATTCAATAGAGACAAGCCTTCAGCTATTAACACATGTTTACTACTCTCAACCATAGAGATTCTAGATATCACAGCTACAATCTTCTCCTTCATCCCTAAAGAACACGAGTCAAGCAACCGAACCAAAACAGGAACAACTCCTTGAGCTACACAGATCATCACGTTCTTATCATCTTCATGAAGTAACTCAAGCAACGAATCAATCGCTGAATTCTTCGATTCAACTCCACCGATCTGTAATCTAATAACTAGATTCCTCGCTTTAAATCGAACAGCTTCCTTCTTCGACGAAATCGAAAATCCCGAAACAGCAACGATTCCGTTATCCTGAAGCAGTCCGCTCTTAATCAAAACCTCAGCATCTTTCACATGTCGGTCGAGTCTCGCCATGACTGAGTCAACTTCACTCTGCGTCTTGAGCTTACCTTCAGCCAAATCTGGTCCCTCACACCTCGCTGCAACGGCAACAGCGTCGTTTAGCGTCTCACGAACCGAAACCAGAAGATCTAGAGCGAGCTTGTTTGAAGAAGAGCCAGCGAAATCGGAGAAATCAGAGAGCTGAGTCTTGAGATCGGCGAGTTTGGCGCGAATTGAAGACCATTTACACTTGAAGCTAAGAAGGTTAGGTATAGAGTCGATGAGAGATGAGATTACCTCCGTTAAACTCCGGTCACCGTCGTCGGAATTAGGTACCGTCATCGGAATTAGGGTTTGACTGATAGATGAGAGAGAAGAGAGAGAGTGAGAGAGAGAGAGAGAGAGAGAGAGGTGTGAATTAATGGGAAGTGTGAAGCTGCTGCTTTGCTTTTGTGCCAGTTGGGAAATTGCGAAATACAGGGAGGGAAATGAGAGTTCACACGCGCTTATGAAAGCGCGTGAGGTTCACCTTTTCACACTTAAGCTTCGTCAACCCCAATGATCAGACTTCATGCATGTTACGTGGACAAACCAGTATCGATATTTTTTTATTATTTTTGTTTTAGAAAAGTTTTTTTTAATTTGGACTTTTTTTGGGGGCTAATATTTGGACTTTTACGGTAATATAATATCGTTATTAGTATATAATAAGATTGATCTTGATGTACGACTTTTTTTCTTTTGAGCTGACAGCAAAAAAAGTGTTTAGGATTTTTATATGAAAGTAATTTTTTTTCAATGACAACTAATTTGCTTAGCAATTAAGAGTCATTCTAGAAGATAATTAGCCAAGTGGTGTTAGTTTAATGGAAAATGGTTATCTTTTTCAGTTTTGACCTTGGATCAAATTGTTATTAGACGTTTATGTGTCATTGAGCAACTAAAGCAAAAAACTGAAGCAAGACTAATGATATTTTGAGGATTCTGTTTTTAATCTAGTCGAACTAGTGCGAACCATCTAATCAAGGAGTGTTTTAGAATGCAATGATACACTATATTTGATATATTATGACGATTTTAATCTAAATGTGGTTTCATGCAAAAATGTGAGGTTAATTTAACAAATGATTGGGATATGAAATCCAAACTCCAACTAAAATGAATTCTAAAAATATGGAGCTCCACAATCTGAAAGTTTTGCATGGAAACACTATGCCAAACGATTATTATTTGTTTATTTTAAAGTCAAAGTCCAAAATCATCACTATATATACGTTTACTTTTGGAATACAATATGAACAAAACAATGCAGTGGATGTGGATTTCATGAACCTATGCTGCTAATTGGGGTTTGAAAGGACAGAGTTGCCATGTAAAGATATACTGATCTATCACTTGATTGGTAAATATTATAAGAATAAATCTTAATAATGAATAGTCAAAAAGCTAGATTATTAAAGCTAGAGGTTGGTAAGAGTTTAACCAATGACTACACTCGTGTTAGATTTTAAAATTATGTGCATTCAACTTGGGGTATTTTATAATTTGATCTTCATCTTGACTAACTTTTCGACGTGTGGATGAAAACCCTTGAAAATATCAATTACTTCTTATATAGTATGATACTTTTATTTTGGTGTAACAAGCATTTATTCTCAAAACCTAAGTTAGATGATATATATTAGGCTTATATCTATGATGTGTTCTCTCCTATACTCTCAGTTTTGGTATGGCAGTTGAGTCTTGTTAAATTTAATCATTGCCATTACTTCAACATTTTCATGATAAAAACCTTTAAATTACCCATAACACCACAACAACAAGCACAAATTGAAACTAGTAACTACATAATAGAAAAGTTGAATCTAAAATCAGACCTAAAAACCATTTTCTTATCCTAATCAATTCTACAAAAATATTCTAATACCGACTAGAATTAGGTATTTCGAGTATTGGTAATATTCTGATTTGAAACCCGAATTAATATTTGAAAAAAAAAAATTCAAATGATTTCTTCATCAATTAGTGCATCAATGTTCTCCATTATTTTGATGGTCATGCTTAGTTTTTAAGATTTTTACTCAATTTTTGTGTTTGTTCCATAAATAAGAAAGTTTCAAGTTGTAAGTAATAACAAATCCAAATGAGTTACTCAGTTATTGCCTAAATATGTAATAATTATTTTTATATACCAACAAGAATTGTCGATTTTTATATATATACTTGCAAGGATTGAGATCAAATCATTGTCGAAGAATATCTCTATATTGTTAATACAATTTTGGTAGCTCCAGCGATGATGGTCTGTAAAAGAGTAATTTTTTCGTTTAAAAAGAATATCTTAATATTTAAAAAATAAAAATAATAGAAAAAGAGGAGAAAAACAAAAAACGTGGAGACTTTGTTGGTTAATAGATAAAAAAATAAAGTTTCAAACTCCTCATTGATTTATAATACACGACTTAATTATCGTTGACATGTTTAAAAAGATTAATAAATGTTAATTTCAAAGAACATATTATTACATAGCTAATGTAATAAGTCACTATTGCTATCTAATGTTTTTCCTTTGTTAAAACTTTTTTTTTTTTTTCAGTTTAAGCATCAACATTCTTTTGTTGAAAATGGTTGATAATTAGCATTACTTTAGCTATTTCATAATATGTTATTTGGAATTAACATTGTTTTAATCTTATTTAAAATGTCAACGATAATTAAGTCATATGTTCGAAACCAATGAGAAGTTTGAAACTACCTATTACGTAATTAATAATTTTTCAACATAAAAATTTCTGAAAAAATAAAAAATAGTTCATGACTATTTTATTGAAAATAAATTATTTGGGGTTTTCTTTGAACTTTTTATTTTTTTAATTAATTATGATAGTAAGAATTAAAATAATCAATACGCATTTTCTCACTTTTGCAACTTTTTTAATTGTTCTTGTTGTGGCCAAATGTAACCTTATTTGTAGTTTACAAGTGAAAATGTGAAATCAACAAATGAGGAGTGAGGACAATCCTTCATTTAAAAAGTTCAGTAGACCTAAGTTGCACGAAAATTAGTATCAGGTAAGCAATAAAATGTTTATGAACATGTAAGCAATTTTACAACACAAAGAAAAATTAAGAAGCTAGTCTATCATTTTTTTCTTTATTCAAAATTTTAAGGTTTTGCTCACACCAAATATATATATTCTCAAAATTAAAAAGAAAAAAAGAAACAGACTGAAAATAAAAAGGCCACTGTGCTCCTGTCACTTAATAAACCCTAATTGCTCCTCCTTCGTTTTCCTCTGTTTTCTCGGATTCAAATTTAAAACTCTCATATGTCCATGGAGTAAACTCGAAATTGAACCACCAACTTACAGAGTCAAGTGCTTTGGCCATACCGTTGGAATCGGAATCGTTCGTTTCGTCTGCGCTTCCAGATTCTCATTTCTCCGGTGAAAACCCAACCTATACTGTCTTCACTCGCCGCCGCAGACCTAGTATCATATAATGGTGTCGCCGAAAGAGTTAGTGAGCATAGTACACTCTTCGCTGCTCGGAACGTCCCAGCCAACCCCAACGCAGCGTATCGAACTCACTCACGCCATTCGCAACTCATTTTCCTCTATTCAGAACCTCCTATCTTTCCCGGTACTTGCTCAATTCCATTGTATTCCCGGCGCGTCCTCTTTCAATATTCTAGGTATAGTAACGAGTTTTTGCTAATCTCTGGCAGCCTCCGAAGCCGTCGGACAGAGCGCAAGTTCAGTCCCGAGAAATTCGACTCCCGGATTCGCTGCCTATATCTTTGGATGACCAAGATGTCGCTATTGTAAGTGTTTCTTTCGAATTTGGGAGTCTGAGTTTTTGTTTCTGAGATATTCTTAGTCTAGTGGAGGTTAAGATTTCAAAGTTTAGATATGAACAAAGTCTCTCGTTAACTGTTGTGGATGCATTGAGTAAATTGGTACAGACTGGTTCTCTAACTAGATGCCTAAGAACTTCGCTGTTTCCTTTACCATGTTTGAATTGGTTACATGAGCTTCTTTTCATAGGGCTTAACATTACACCCTTTTGGCTTCTGTTGAGTTTTCTTCATCTTCCGAGACTGGTTAAATTGATGTTTCCTTATCTTATCATGGTATTTGAAATATGTGCGATGATTTATATGGTTGATGCTTCAGAAAAAGGTTGGCTCCTATTGCCGCTAATGACTCTCTGATCATTATCTTATATCGTTACTGATTGTAGAGCTTGAAACTGAGTGATGAGCTTCACCTAAATGAGATAGATTCTGTTCGTCTGCTTGTATCTGCAAATCAGGAGGTGTGATTACCTTCACTTTGCTTCTACTCTCATCTCTTAGCTTCTAAAGCTCTGGAGTTAGTTTCTGCGATATTTTCTTACATTTTATCATATGTTTAGTGGGGCTTAGTGGGACGGGACCCACTTGAAATTCAACGGCTTGCAACTGGACTATGGTATACAGGGAGGAGAGACCTTACATCAACGTTATACACACTCCTGAGGGTAACTTCCTCTCTCATTATATTTCTGGCTTTTTCTTTTTTTCTTCTAGTGTTCCCAGCGTTGTCACACATTACCATTTTTCTGGTTGGACAGGCAGTTGTTCTGGACCAGGGGCTAGAACCTGACCTTATAGCTGACATTCAAGGACTCTTAGAAGAACTCTTCAAAGCTGGGCTAAGACAACGGTTGATTACTCTTATAAAGGTACTAAGCACTTGAGTTCTTTTGAGATACATCCTCATAGATTTCAAACTCAAGACTTCGGTATATACATAACTTAAATAACTTCCTACTATTACAATCGTTCTCAGCACGTCTAAAATTTTATTTTCTTGTTTGTTGAGAATTCATGAGCATGTCTGCCTAGCTACACCATTTCAATCTACATTCCATTCGTTTCTAATGATCTTAGAGAATAAACAAACTTTCTCCAATTAGTAATTGAATCCAGTTTTCAATTGTGTAACTATGACTTATAGTGCACATTGAACTATTGTGAAAACATAAGGTATTGAGACCAATACGATTTTTTTCCACATCAGAAAATGACTATTTGCTGTTTGGTCATTGTTGTTAATACTGCATGATACTTTTTAAAATTGTCAACTACACGAGCTTTCATAGTTCAAGCACTAGGTGGAATGCATTTCCTATGTAATAATCATCTTTGACATTCATTTTAGCTGTCTATATTATCTTTAAATTCAAAGACAGTTGTAGTTACATCTAGCGTACCATTGTTATTTACATCAATTGAGTCAAGACAATTTAAAGATTTATTTTGAAATTTCAAACTCCAATGCTTGTCCCTTATGTCCACTGTCTTCATAGCTGAACATTTGTAGCAAAATCATGTCTAGTTAAAATATTAGATATAAAAGTCCTTTTAGAT